GTTTTTAACTCTGGCTTTCAGGAGAAAAAAGGCCGCCCTCCCCCCCTCCTTTGGGGCCTATCTCTAAATCCTGGTGAAACCCGCGTACGGTTCTGTGAGATTCTAAATCAGATAGAATTTTTTCCTAAGGCAGTTGCCTTCTCCCATGAAACCAATTTCTGTTTTTCTTTGCAAAATGAAAAACAAGACACAAATGTAATAAATGATTTTCTCTCTCCTCTCTTGTACCTACCAGAGAAAGTGGCAGAACTGGTTTTCAAGGGAGGCCTAGGGGCTAGACATTTTCCTGGGAAGAGCTCAGCATGCAGCCAGAAGCAAGAGGGTGAAAGACACAGTTTCCCAAGATCGATGACCCTGGGAGAGACAGGCAGGAAGGGAATCACACCACCAGACTGGGTGACCTCCAGCAGGGACGGTCAGTGCCTGGAAGAGGACAGTAATATCTGACAGGGCTGGAGGACCGAATGGGATAGTATAGTAAACCTCTGGCCGAGGGCCAGGAACACAGTAGGTGCTCAATAAGCAGAAACACACTATTATCAGCTCATGTTGAACTCTACTGAGTTAGGAAAAAAAAAAATCCGTCTTTATTGAAGAAGAGATTGCAGCACCAATGTGCCACATTGTACCAGATGGAAACAATGAGGGACCTCATTTGTGTTTGCAGCATCTGGGTGCTCAGGGTACAAGACAGCTGAGAGGTGCTGGGAGGGGCAGAGGTTCAACCAGGTGTACCCAGACAGAGAGGTGCCTTTTTTTGCCCCTCCCCCACCCCCCCAGACATCTGCACTACCACCTGTCTGTCAGTTTGTACTGTTGTGGCTCAAACTGCTATGATACCAGAAGCAGGACACACACACCATCACACTCAGGGACACACACATACTGCATTCCATGCCATTTCTCAGGACCCAGAAACACCCACTCCCACAGCCATAGCAACATCACCCAGGTATCTGGATAGGCTCTTGAGAAAAAGGAGGCATGGACAGAGGAAGGGATGATGTTGGGCTGGCGGCATTGAGTCTCCAATCATGATGTCCAGCCCCCAGCTCACAGTGACAGCTACACTAAGTGGTAGACATGCCAACTCTGAGAACGTTGATGTCCCTATTTCACTTTTCATGAGGTGTTGTGGCCGCCAGGCAGTGTACTGTGCCCGTCCTTCCAGCCCCGATGGGTAACCCACTGGTCTTGTACTGCCCCTTCTCCCTCCCAACCCCATGCAGGCTTTGAGCTAGAAAGGCTGAGACCACCTCGTCCTTGTCCCGCAGTGATGAACTGTGAACCTGAGTGTGGAGGTCTGTGGTATCAGGAAACAGGAAACAGATGGCAAGGGACTCCACATGACACAGATTCCAGAGCATATCTCCCAGTGCCCTGACTCTATTCCACCTCCAGGATCCAGCTGGGAAGTGGAGTGTGCCCTGATTCACCCTGTGTATTACTCACAGCTCATAGGGAGTCCTAGTGTAACACTAGAGGGTCAGCACTGGACTAGCAACCAAAGTTCAGCAGTTCAAGCCCACCAGCTGCTCCTCAAAAACCCGATACAGGGTCGCTATGAGTCAGAATCGGCTCGACGGCCCTTACAACAGCACCTCCTGGAGGGATTGTTCATTCCTTTCCTGTCCCCACTGCTTGGTCAGACAGCAGCAGTTGGCTGCAGCCCTGAAAAGGCACAATGATCTCTTCAACTACAGGGTAACTCCTCACCTGTCTGCTGGCGAATGGACACTGGAGACCTGGCTGTTGCCATGATCCCAAACTACCCCCCAAGTGCTTATTGGACAATATTGAAAGTACCATGGACTGCCGGAAGAACAAACAAATCTGTGTTGGAAGAAGTACAGCCAGAATGCTCCTTAGAAGCCAGGATGGCCAGACTTCATCTCTCATGCTTCAGACATGTTCTCAGGAGGAAGCAGTCCCTGGAAAAGGACATCATGCTAGGTAAAGTGGAGGGTCGGTGACAAAGAGGAAGATCCCCAACAAGATGGACTGGCACAGTGGCAGCAACAATGAGCTCAAGCATTAACAACAATTGTGAGGTTGGTACAGGACCGGGCAGTGTTGTACATAGGGTTCCTGTGAGTTGGAACTAACATGATGGCACCTAACAACAACAACCACATGGAATGGGTATGAGGTCCTGGGGAGTTGAGCCTACTATGTGGGTGATGTGAGGGTCCGTTACCACCACAAAATGGTACTCTCATCCCCAGCGCCCCACGTAAGATGCTTTCATCAGGACCCAGCTGGAAAGGCTGTTGCTGAGCCTGGAGCAGTCTTGTGAAAAGAGATGTGCCCCTCTTACAGATGGGAAAACACAGTATCTTCTCCAGAGATTAGTCCCTCCTGATGACATATCCAAAGTCAGGGAGTCAAACCCTCAGACAGTATTCTGTGGTCCGTAAATAGGGTCATCATGTTTGGTAGAGTGTAGGGCCAGCCAACGTGAGGGAAATGCTCAGAGAAATGAATAGACAAAATAACTCAACAGTAGACTCCAACATACCAACAGTGATGAAGATTTCCTCCCGTCACACGTAAGGTCACCATAAATTGGAGTCAACTAGGAATCCTGGTGTGGCGCTGCAGGATAATGCACTGGACCAGTTTGAACCACAAGGTCAGTTTGAACCACAAGGTTGGTTCAAACCTACCAGCCACTCCTCAGAAACCCTAGACAGGATTGCTATGGGTCAGAACCACCACAGTGGCACTTAACAACAACAGACACAGCTGGTGTGGCACTGGATAAGCACTGGATTGCTAACCATAAGGTCAGTGGTTCAAACCCTACCAGCTCCTCCTTGGAAACCCTATATAGCGTTGCTATGAAGCGGAACTGACTTGATGGCACTTAACAAGAGACATCAATTAATGACAGCAGGTGGGAAGAAGAGACTGTTCCTCACCCTTGTCCTACTTTCCCCCATGTCCAGCATGTGACCTCAGGACCAAACTGAGGAACTGCCTTGGTGGTAGGTGAATTTCAGAGCATATTTTATATGCCACCAAGTCAAGGCCACCCACAAGTTCAGTTAGAGTTAGACAGATGTGTCAAATTAAATTCAAAACAAGCTCTTTTGAATGCTTCCCGTTTCTTCTACTTTTCTTCTTTCCCACCTCTTGGTGGGTTTCTCTAGGTCCAAGGTGGTTCTGCCTTCTGCCCACCCCAGTCTCTCTCCAACCTCCATTCTTCTGCTTTCCCCTCCCCTCCCAGAATGCTCCTCTTTCTCCAGCTGTGTGCAAGGTGGCCCATTGCCCACCAGCTGGACTGTCCCATCCCTGCTCCCAGCCCACCAGCCCGGCTCCTCCCTGCACTCCCTCCTTCCTGACTCTCCAACTCCATCCTTGCCCTCTCCCTCTGCAAAGCTCCTATGGGTCCTTCCCAACTCTGCTTTTGCCATCCAGCTATCCAACTTGCTCTCACATGTCACACAGCCCCTTTTATTGAGCCCCATGGGGACCCTATACCATATTTCCTCTTCATGACCACTGAGTATAGATTGACCCCTCTAAGCACATGTACCATCCCATAGTTTCAATGTAACTGAAACCCTCTGGCCACCCAGTTTGGGAAGTCCCTACAATTACTAGTGTCCTCTTGAGGATGGGTATTTCCCATAGCTGTCTGCTCATTGAGCTCTTGATGCCTCCTTTATGGGAGGCACACTTTGCTTAATAGATTTGCCAGAGCTTGCATGGCACAGAAGTTTGACCTCACCATGCCATCCAGAAAGGTGTGAGAACTCAACCATCCTTGGAAAGCAAGAGCCAGCTCTCTTTCCCCATTGTCACCGAAATGAATCGACCACAGCTTTAAAGTAAAGGATGAATCCCAGCTGCTGACAGTTGAATAGGAACCAAGGCACAAGGAGGAGGAGAAATGGATATTCATGATACAAAATTTCCCAAACTGAAATAGTTCTTCTCTTGATTCACAACCAGGGCTTTGAGAAATGACTCTTGTTGCCAATAGATGTTCCAGAGACCAGTTACTACTCAGGAATAAATATTTATGCTAGAAAACTAAAGAGTATTTGACAAGCATTTGTTAAAATGTGGTCCTAGTAGCATTAGATATATCAGAATCGCTTGGGATTCAAATAAAAATGAGAATTCTTGGGAGTTCTAGAATCTCTAAGGTTGGAATCCATATTTGCAAAAAGTTCCCAAGAGTTTTCTGCATTCAAGAGAGTTTCAGTCAGAGTGCTGTCGCAAGGAATACATGGAAGGCATTCAAAGAGTCTGATACTAGCAAGATTTCTCAAATTTTAACATGCAAAGGCCAAGTCAGTAGCCCTAGCCAGCCAGTTTGCTAGGCCAACAAGGGACTAGAGGGATTGTTTCCTTCCCATTATCTTGTATGTGTGTGATATTGCAGTTGTTGTTGTTAAGTGCCATCGAGTCAGTTCTGACCCACATGGACCCAGTATAGGGTTTCCAAGAAATGATAGCAATCAATAGCAAGTCACTTTCACCCACTTTAGTTCACTTAATGAAATACAACGAAGCTATTGTTTTAATGGTGATGCAAAGACTGACTGCTAACCAAAAGGCTGGAGGTTCAAGTCTACCCAGAGAAAACTTGGAAGAAGAGCCTGGACGTCTATCTACTTCTATTAAAACTGTGGCTCACAGTTCTACTCTGACACAGATGGGGGTCCAGGAGTGGGAGTTGACTCCGCAGCAACTGGTATTGTTTTAGTAATGATTCTAAACCTTAAGCAGACATTCATGGCCTTCTCAGGTAGTCAACGTGGGAGTCAGCACCCAGAGCGGTTATAAGAACGACTCTGCTTGAGACATACTGAGTTTTTCTCATTGCCCTAGCCATGTGAGTTTTAGCCAGTTATGAAGTCTCCCTGAGCATCAGACCTTAGCTCTAAAATGGGGTCGACGCTGGGCCCTTTCTCGCCAGAATTGTGACGATTGCATGAGAAATTAATGCAGAGTACGGAGCAGGGCTCCAGTCCACACACCGTTGGTCCTCATTCTCGGCATTCATCCGTAGCATAGGGGATACCTCTTCGAGGTCTGGCATAGAGGGCCAAGTCAGAAGCAGGAGAAGAAATGGCTCTTATTGAGACAGGGGAGTTCCTGTGAGTGGGGGAGGAACAACGCAGAAAAGGAGGGTGAGAATGTTTGCCCAACTCAACGTCATCAGTGTCGCTCAATTGTAAATGTAGAAATAAATGGATGAATTGGTGTGTGTGCTGCTATGTGTATTTTCAACAACAAGACAAAATAAATTATCAAAAAATACCTAAAAAACAATGCAGATGCTACAAGGACAGCATCCTGGGATAAATGTGTGGCTCGCATCTCTCTGAGACTCTGTTGTGGTGGCTGCCCTTAAGACTGCCTTTGTCTGTCTCCCCAGGAGCAGAGACACTGTTGCTCACAGCTTTGTGTATGTGAATGTGTGTGTGTATATATATATGGTGGTGGTAAGTGGCGTTGAGTAGATTCCGACTTACAGCGACCCTGTATAGTATCCTCCAAGCAGCCCGTCTTGCAGTTTACAGTCCAGTGCTGATCCTACAGCACTATTTATGTACATATGAATTCTTGGTGTGGCACTGTAGGTTACCGCACTGGACTACAAGGTTGGTTTGAACTGTAAAATTGGCAGTTCAAGCTCACCAGCCACTCCTCAGAACCCCTGTATAGGGTGGCTAGGAGTTGGAACCGACTCAACAGCACTTAACAGCAACAACTTTATATAATTTTAGAGAGAGAGAGA